CACACAAGGAAAGATTGGCTTTCAAATTTGCAATGGAGGCTTTATTGCAAACGTTGGGTCATCTTCTTTTCAGTGCTCCTTTCTATCTCATTCGTTTCTATCTCATTGTCCATCCTTTATTATTTCTAGTTAGACAGAACTATTGATTTTTCAGATCTACAAGCACCAGCCAGCTAGTACCATCGCGGCTCATGGCATACCGAGCGATAGGCGCAGCAACGTTTCCAACCAAGGCGACTTGACTGCCACCAAATCTTGCTTGGGCCTTGGCAAACAATTGCTATTCTTCTTACGATTGTCTATCAGAAATGCAAAAATACAGATGTATCCAAAAGGAGTGCCAGGAGTTGCTGGCTATATCAAGCAGTCGGATATAAAGCATAGACTTAACTTGACTCGACTCGAGTTGCAGAGTCCTTAGTCAAACCGAACTGGAATGAATCTGAATCTTTGAGAGCAACCAGCACAGACGTTGCAGCATGAACTCCTGTCCTTCTTTCTTTCCCTTTGCTCTCTAGCTAGCTTGGGAAGGAGCTCCTCCCGGTACCGTACAAAACGAACAAGCTAGCTGGGGTACTAGTACATGTAGTACGAAACCATAGATAGCATACGGTAATACGGGAGTTGCCAGCTAATGGCTTCTCATTTGTGCTCGCCAAAATATTGCCGGTTCTTTATGTCATGCAAGAATCGATGTCGCCTAACTTTTAAATGATCTTCAAGAAGCTTAATTACGTAATTGAAGTTGGGTACAACGGCAAACTTAACAACCGGCAAGTCTGGGAACCGGAAGGGAACATGGCTTTCCGTAAGTCCAGGCATGGATCTTTTGCAATCCGCAGCCATTTCGCAAGATACAACTGTGATCTCGTTCCGAGGGAGTGGGTGATGATGGAATGCGATGAGCTCACAATACAAAGATCCACAAACCAACATCAATACAAGCAGCAATAGCAACAGTCAACCAACGAAGACAAAGTACCACACACATTGAATACTGCCAACTATTTGATCGGATATAAAGAAGACAAAACCAGAAATCGATCAAGAAGAAAAGGATGACCGTCAATAGCACCATCAGCTACACCGAAGTTCCCCAGGCATCGCCAGACTCCAACAATGAAACTATGGAGAGCAAGCAGCCTCGTCGTCGTTGCACCAACCAGTCAGACATTCTTCTGTCTTTTTCTTCCAAAAATTAACATACTACTGTATATTACTAGACTACACTTTCGGTCTTGGAATATCGACCAAATCTCCCAGACTGGTGTAAATGTTGCCTCCCAATCGTCCAATGGGTCGCAACTTTGTCGTGTCAACTGCCGGTTTGTCATCGTTATTGTTGGGTACCAGTACGGATTCATCCACATGAATGCGTACCACCTTCACCAAGACAATTTCCGTGGTTGCAGCGTCACTACTCTTGGTAACAGGATGTACATGTTCCAAAACACATTCAAAACTGACGGCAGCTTGTCCCACCCGCGGCACCGTTTGGACGACTTGACAATCGTATACTTTGGTCAATCCTGCCATGTCAAATTCATCCACATCCGGAGGAAACATGCCACAGGAATGATTGGCCGCATCCAAGTACCATTCGGACATGATATTCACACAGCACTGTTTCTGCCGTAGAATATTGACGAGAGAATCTTTTTGTTGACCTCCTTTACGACAAAATCCAATGGCCAGCATGGGTGGATCGTGTGCGACGGCTCCAAAATAGGAAAAAGGAGCGACATTGTCGACGTTCGTGTCGGGATTGTGACTGGATACGAGTGCAATGGGACGGGGCGTCACGGAGGAAATGACGAGATTGTAGCAGGATGTCAGTGTTTCCGGATTGTAGATTTTCTTGTGTTTTCCAAAAAACAGAGTGGGAGGAGGAGGTGTTTGACCGGGTGTATAGGATGGTCGATTATCGAATCGATTGTACGGTGTTGTGGATGTAGTAATCTTTTTGGAATTCTTGGTAGTAGAAGTGGCAGGTCGTCGTTTGGACATGACCAGGAGCCCCACCGCAAATCCCACGGCGCCTGCCGCAGCCAAGTCGGCCCAACGTGGTCGTCCTTCCATGTTGTTCTAGAAGTAGTGACTTGCCTCGCTATGATAGCAAACACAAAGGGTCAAACAATGTTCAAGACCTCCACAAAGCTTCTGTCGCCGATCTGACAGGCTGGCAGGTCCCAGCCAAAAGCAAAGATCTTCGAATTCTGTTCCTCATCCATTCATGCGTCACGCTCGCGAATCAACTAAGTGACGACAATCCGTGACTAATAATGGAAATTTCCTTGTCGCACATTTCTTTTGGCCATGGCGGTTGTGCGGCGCCATAATCATCCCTTGGTCGTCCACCCTTCTTCCCCCGCTTTTTCCGACACTACTACCGCTAGTAGCAGAGCTAGTAGTACTACTCCTGTTAGTAGTAGAGCATCCCCTCTGGCGGCTGATTCTACTGATTCCTCCCAGAAGCGACTTCGGTTGGATTGGACGCGTTGGAGACAAGTGGTACGAGTCGTCAAGATGAGAGCCTTGAAGGTCTTTAGCAATACTGGCACTCCGTCAGAAGAGGAGACAGAAGATGGAACTCCTGCAACGGATTCCACTCGCAAACACTGGAAGAGTCTCGTGAAGGAATTTTGTTTGTTTGCGGCGACAGCAATCATCATTTGGCAATCGCAACGCAATGGCAAGAGTCTGGTACACATGCAAATGGCGCAAGTCACCGACAAGACAACTGACACTAGCACTAGTACTAGCAGTACTGAACCACAAATACAAGTACAACCAGCTAGTATTACCAAGAACGACAAAGATGACGACGACAAGCGATTGGAACAAACCGAACAAGAGTTCAACGACAATTTTCATTTGCCCAACGACGGCGGCGGCATTTTCTTTTGTGGCTATGCCAATTACGACATGGCCCAAGCATTCTTTCCCGATTACATGAAGCGATACACAGGTGGATTGGATAGCGGCACGCACGACTATTTGCCCTATGCGACACAAAACAAACGATTGCCCGACAAGAAGGATATTCTCGTGTTTGGCCTGCACGGCCCCTGTGCCGTCGATGCTCGACGGTTTCCCGGAAAAGTCTTGTTTGTCAATGGAGAACCCAATGGACCCAATATGGTACTACAACTCACATTGCCGGGACGATCTCCAGGACAAGATGTCTATCAAATTGGATTGTTGCCCGATACCGATCACAGTGTCTTGATCTTTCACGGAGTCTGGAATCTCATGCGATTGCAACCTTCTGTCTATCAAACACTCTGGATACCCGACCAAAAACCCGTCAATTCGGGAAAATACCGCGGTCTCATGTACATGAATCGACAATGTTATCCCCATCGCGAAGCCGCCGTCAATCGCATTTCGTCGGTGATGATTGTCTATCACGGTGGCAATTGTCGCGGGATTGCGGCCAAACAACCGGCCCATCCCAGTTTTCAACGCATGGAACGGGTTCCCACCGAACGATTCTGGGCGGCCAATCGAGATGTCTACAGCGAATACACCTTTTGCATGGCCATGGAAAATTCACGAACGCAACATTACATGTCGGAAAAAATCATCATGGCATTTTTAGCGGGATGTATTCCCGTCTATTTTGGATCCACCGAAGTCTTTCAGGTCTTCAACAAGAATGCCTTTGTCTTTTATGAAATTGATGATCCCTTGCCGGCATTGGCCCAATTGCAAGAATTACATACCAATAAGACGGCGTATCAAGAAATGTTGCGACAACCCATTATGGCAAACGGGGACGAGACGGTACGAGAGTACTTTTCGGTAAAGGACAATATTGGAGGAGGATTTCTCAAAAAGAAATTGAGAAAGGTCATGGGATTAGATGATGATGCATGATGGAAGTTATTTATTTGATGTCACAGCCTAGGAAGAATGATAATCCACTCCAATCCACCAGCGATGCCAAAAGGAGACAATGCAGGAATTTCAATTTCCGCTGCATGTTACAGAGAGGGGACACGGCATTTTCCTGGTTTGGTTCCCGCTCGCTCGCTCGTGCAGGTTGTCATACAGATTGTTGCAGCAGAGCATAGACGGCGCCCCAGATTATCGTGAATCGAATCGAATCGAATCGAATCGAGCTCAGAATCAATCATCACAAATTCAGACTGAGAATCAATCATCAACGCTAGAGGTCCCCGGATCTTGTGCCAACGACGATCGTGAGCTCTGGGGCTACTGCTACCGGTACCTCTATGGCTACAAAACAGAACAGAGTTCATCGGTACCGTACGATACCACAGTTGAGGAGTTATTCTTCGTAAGTCCAACGATACCGTACCGTGCTTGGTACCATAGCTTTCCTATGAACAACTCGCAGTGCACAGATACACTCTTCCAATGAATCGAATCAATCATCCCACAGAACCGACTTGACACTTGTAGCACCATTTGGAGCTCCACTTCGGGGCTTGGTTGGTATTTACTGTTTATTCCTTACTGCCATGAGGTCAGTAAAAGGAGCAGTAATGGCAGTAATGCAGTAATTCCTCAGGAACAGTATTTCTGCTAAGTAATTTAGGGTCAATAAAAGGCAGTAAACTACAGTAATTGCAGTAATATAGGCTAATTACTGTGCTTTTACTGTCATTTACTGGATATTCCTGCTATGAAGCAGGATTTATTACTGCCATGAATTACTGACTGCAGTAATCATGTGGCCAATAATAGCAGTAATTGGACAGTAAGGAGCCAGTAACCCGGATTTACTGCAGTAAATACCGACCAAGCTTCGGGGTCGTTTGGGAGCAATTGACCTGGGCAGGTTGACTGTCTGAGTTCTCAACCCCTTTGAACAACCGTCATAAGCCTTCATTGAAACACCATAAGATACTGGAGGACTTCCCCTTATCACGAATTAACATCCCCTGAAAAATAGTGTCAACTCGGAAACTGTTCCTTAAATATTCGACATCCTCTTGCTTCAAATACTCTTAACAACACCCTCTAAGCGAAACACCAGGATGAGTCAGTCGTGGCAGTTTTTAAGCCTGAACCGAAAACCGTCGGACGGTACCACATGGTACATGTACCGGTACCGGTAGTCTAATAAAAGGAGCACCCCTGCAAATCTCAATCAAAGCAGTCGCGAAAGACCTTTCGCTCATATTGGTGACGTTCCAGCGTTTGCGCAACTAACGTTGCATGTACCAGTACTTCTAGCCGGGTACTAGTATTATTCAGAGGAGATACTATTAATAGTACTACCGTGCTAGCCGCTAGCAGTAAGGTTCCTAAGTACCGTAGCTGTAGCAGCTCCTGTAGCATGGATTACTTATGAAGATCGCGGACATCCGATTTGCTTCACACTTCACGTGCAGAATAGGCACAGCCCTCTTATAATTTCACTTTTTTGAATATCTAGATTGAAAGACAAAATAGTTAAATAGATCCACCTCTGGGTGAAGAAAAATTAGAATACTCCATTTTTGAATGATTTGATCAACCCATTTGTCAAAATGGAAAATGACCGGCATTCTCGCAGTGGAAGAAGAAAAAGTAAAACGTTTCTCAGTAACTGATTCTGGCTCAAATTCTTATCTTGACGCCTACTTGACCTACACCTTCAATACTCCTGGCACATACACCATTGTTGTGGGTCAAACTTTTGATATATGCAGAAGTCTCTATTCTGATTCTGTTCAAAATGGTGTCACATACATGTTGCACATTTCCCTGGGCTATTCGGAAGCCCAGCTTCGAGCGGCAAAGGGCATGGGAGACCCACACTTCAAGGTACGACTCAGCAAGCCACAAAAAGTGCAGAAGATGAATCTTTTGTTGGGACTGACCAAGCAAGTGTTCTTTCCTCGGTTTGTATAAGACATGGGTGAACGAGTGGTATGACTTCCATGGAGAGTGTGACTTGGTCTTTATTAGCAGCCCTGAGTTTGATGAGGGAACTGGCTTGGACATCCACATTAGGACAAAGGCACGCAACCAGTATTCTTACATTGAGTCTGCCGCTGTCCACATTGGGGAGGACACTTTGGAGGTTGGCGAATATGGTGCTTACATGGTGAATGGAATCTCCAATGCTGAGCTAGACAAGTTTGACAAATACTCCATCAAGCACGAGAAGAAGAGCTCCAAGCAGGATATGTTTGTGGTTGAGCTTGGCAGGGGCAAGCAGATTGTCCTTCAATCCTTCAAAGACCTTCTTAGCATCAAGACAGTTGGTGCCACCCCTTTGGAGTATGAAACTAGCAAGGCTCTTTTGGGAGACTACAAGACTGGCAAGTGGCTTGCCCGAAATGGAACTGCCCTGACAGATGCGGATGCCTTTGGAAATGAATGGCAGGTTCTTGAAAGCGAGCCCAAGCTCTTCCAAAACAAACACAGGCACCCACAGCACCCGGTCACTTGCAATATGCCTAGTTTGAAACAGGTGGGCCGCCGTCTTGGTGAATCTATTGCCCAGACAGCTGCTGAGAAGGTCTGTGAACATTGGGGAGATCAAAAGGATCAATGTGTCTATGATGTCATGGCTGCTGGAGATTTGGAGCTTTCTGAGGCTGGAGCATTCTAAGCAGTGATCAGAAGTGAAGTCACAGAGGTTTCTGTGCTGGCCAAATTGAGTGATGTGCCCAGTGTATTGGTGTCACACCTTGATGTGGTCTAAGCTGAAATAACTACCAGGCTGTATCAGACCCATGCTTGTTTGTTGATATTAGAGAATAGTGTATCCATCTTTGTATGGATGCTGTTGCCATTTCAAGGAAAGCACCACAGCATTCCTTCAAATGCAAGTGGGTTATAGTTAAGCTAAAAAGGTAAATAAAAGAAGTGTGTTTTAGTAATAGTACTGTGCCCACCTGCTCAATCAAATCGTTCAATCAGCACTACCGTACTGGTAGAGTCAAGATTCCATGAATAGCAAAGCTGACTTTGGCGATTTCTGGCTGCAACCATGGCTTCGGCCGGGGTAGTGTGGAAGCATTTCATAGCTGACGGAAGCGTTGGTGGTTGCTAATACATGTAAGCAGAGAGGTCTACGATTCGATTGAATTCGACGTTTTACATGAATGACGCTACATATACCACAAGCTGCCGGCACGGATCTTCTCGCAAGGCCTGATTATTGGTAATGTTTAGGTTATGCTGTGTTTTCTTGAGCTGCCTTTTTCTGTTGTCTTTCCGTTTCGTAGTACATTGATTGATTCATCGATTGATTCCTTTTGAAAAGCTCGTGATGCCACGGTCCTAAAGTAGCTATCGAGCCATGTCGTCGGCCACCATCGCTCGCCTCCGTGGCACCGTACTCAATCCAACTCCATGTCGTCAGCACAACATGACACGATTAATTTCCCTTCCTGGTACAAGTCGGTCCAGTGGCTGCCCTTGTCACAAACCTGCGAAATGTAAAACGTGGAACGTTCGGCGCCAATGCAATCGACCAACAGTTCGCGAAAGTGAGCCGCGTGCATCTGGAGGTACTCGACTTCTCCACGACGCTTCTGGAGGTACAATTGAGCTTCTCCTCCTTGTCTCTTGACTTCTCGGCATTTCTGGCTCGTGTTGCCTTCCCAGTCGATTTCCCAATCGTCATTCGAGAGCGCCTCTTCCAGCGAGACACGAGCCAAGTTGGAATGGTGCACATTCTTCGCCTTGCCATCCACGAAACGCACAAATCCTTCGGGCGACGCCATTCGCTCTTCCAACACGGCCTTGATGTGGTCACGCATGCGAGTCTTCTTGTCAGGGGCTTGTGGGAGGTGTCCCCACAACAAGGAGCGACCAATGGGCATCAACACAATCACCATGTCGGCCGATGCCGGACGAGGCTCCTCCATGTACGAATCGTACAGGACGTCAAGCTTGGTGGTCGCTTGGAGACACGCAAAATAGACTTGGTGATTTTGGAACTGCAATGTGAATCGATAGCGGTCCGGTACCACCATTTTGCTGTTGACCATGCAGTAGGCGACGTACTCGAGGCACTGGTGCACATCGTCGCGTGCGGCTGGCTGCACGTCCACGGCAAGGATCTCGGGTAGACCCTGCTCTTCTCTCATGTTGGTCGTGAAGATGCACAGGGGAAACGACTGGATGTCACTTCCGGTGCACTCGACCTTGGGAACGAACGAGGTTCCGGTGTCGTTATTCGCAGCGGTGGGGCTGACTGTCGTCGTGTCGTCGTTGGCGTGAACTGTCATCGTGTCGGCGGTGTAAAACCAACAATTCTTGGAGATGAAACTAGAGAAAGTGCAGACGCCGTCGCGTCTTCTTCTTCTTCTTCTTTGCTGTTACGTACCGGTACAGTCGAGTCAAGTAGTCTCTCAATGGCTCGAACTTGAAGATCAAGGCGTGAAAATAAATGATGAGCAAAAATAAATGAGGTCGTGCGGTTGGAAGAGGGAGCCTTCACCAGGACTGAGTAAGTCACGGATGGTTTTGAAAGGGTTAGAGATTTGACACTGGCCTCGACCAACGACCATGACAGCCACAAACGCAACATTGCGACGGATCTTTCCTCCTCCGTCCAGCTAGTAGCTTGTAACCAACAGTGAAACAACAACAGCAATGTCATCAGAGGAACCAAAGGCCGCTGCAGATGCTGCCCCTGCTGCTGATGCGGAAAAGGTAGGTTGGATTCATTGAGGCAACGAAGAAACTGCCGTTTTCATTCGTCCAACTCTCTCACATACATTGTTTGCATCCAACCACAGTCCAAGAGATCGCCGTCGGATTTTCTCAAGTCAGTGCTGGGGCGTCCTGTTCGAGTGAAACTGAATTCTGGAATTGAATATCGAGGTAGGACCCCATTCTTGTCGTGACCATCTTCCTCGCAGTTCAGTTTGTGGATCCTGCTCAACCATCGCTATCCACCACCTCTACTACCCTACAGGAGTGCTGGCATGCCTGGATGGATACCTGAATATGGCCCTGGAACAATCAGAAGAATATGGGCCAGATGGTCTTCTCAAAGCTAAATACGGAGACTGTTTCATTCGGGGAAATAATGGTGCGTGCTGTGAATTGATTGCTCGTGTATGTTTCTTTTCTATGATCAAGGTGTGTTTCTCACAGTAGAGTATTTTCAATGGTTTGCTTTCCTTGCGAAGTCCTCTATGTTTCCACGCAAAAGCGACGGTAGGGCTTTTGGAGCAATGAACTGGGTTTTCTTTCATAAAGTGGACGAGATCTAGCTAGGGTTTGATCCTGAGGAGACTACGACAGGCAGCCGAGGTAGATTGCTGGACGAAGATGACCTCCAAATGCGAAGCGATACAGTTCTTTCTGGGAGGCAGCCAACACAGGCAGGCGACCTTGACGCTCATGATCGTTGCTCTGTCTTAGGGTAGTACGCCCCGTAGTCAATTCAATCATATCCTACTACTAGCAGCTCTACTAGCTACCGGTGGACAGCCAACTCTCTGTAACATGGGACCAGGCTTCGCTCGTTCCTACGGCGATTTGGCAAAGGGGTTATTGGCAGGAAGTGCACCGCCAAACCAACCCTCTCGAGCTCGAGCCATTTGGCTCGGGGTACGGTATCGCATAGCTGGTTCTTCGTTCATCACTGTGCAGAAGGCAAAGAAGTGACCGATGGCGGCGCAGCCATTAGCATCGATGCGGCAGAATGTCTCCACTCAATACAAGAACAAGTAATAATAGTCAAGAGGAGGGCGAATCTGAAAAGGTTTTGATCTATAAAATGTCTCTCGTCTATCCTCCTGTTGCTACTGTACCAATATCTGTATCAGTGTTTTCTTACTTTGTTCCGTTCATACACATGTACTACCTTCTAATAATAAATTATGCCTTGCGGTTGTTTCTTGTGTGCCCCCACGCTACACAGGGCTGCAAAACATACATATACCGAATAATAATATACTGGGACGTGAGATTTGTGAGAGTTGAAACTTGGGACTTGGTATTTCTTTGCTTACGAGATTTTTGGCAACACAAAGGAGGACGATGTGGGCGGTTGCTGTGGTGGCACGGGATTGATGTGATCGCTGTATTGCAGCGCCGGTTCGACATCCAAATCCAATTCTTCTTGATCGGGGAACAACGCCGGGTCCAAATGAGGCGTAAAGGCGCTCCTGGTTTGCTTATCGGCTTGTTCTCGTAGGTACTGATCGATAATCATCTTGCTGCGGTAGTTGCGGAACGTGACCATGGAGATCATGGCAAAGGCGGCGAGTGCCAGAGCCATAAACACGGACGACAAGGCAAATGTCAAGGGTGCTTCCACATGGGACTGTTCTGGCTCCATGCTGGCGCCAACGACATCTTGGGGGCGCTGCACGTCGGCTTGGAATTCCGTCTCGTCTTCTTTTTGTTCTTGATCGTGCGCCATGTTGCTATCGGGAGGAACTTCTTCTTGGTGTTGATCGGGAGGATTCGGCGACAAGGTTGCCTCTTTGGGTGGATTTTCGGCATGATGTTCCATTTCGGATCCGTCCGCCATGTACTCGGGCTCGACTCCAATGGATTCCAAGTAGGAGTTAAAGTGCGTGTGGTGGTGGTCGTTACATCGGAGCTGCCAAAGGCACTTTTGGGCGTCGGGATGACGGTGATTCCGTTGCCTGCAGAAGTCGTTGCAAAACGAACAGGCCATGGGCTTTTTGTCCTCGGGATACTGGGAACAGATAAATTCGAGTGCCTCGTTGGTATCGCTCAGTGGCTGACCAAAGTCAAAATGCTGGGTGCGATCGTTGGACACGACCGAGGGAAGATGGCGATCGACCGCTGTTCCGTCTTGCATGCTGTCTTGCAGAATGCTATTCTCGTAAATGAAATCGGGATCCACGGTTCCAATGCATCGGTCGATACGAACCTGATCCATCTTGAGCGTCATAAAGACTTGATCCAAACAGGCTCGTGTGAGTTGCGTGTGGCACCCCGTGCCGTGCATGGCGTCCATGTACCGAAAGAACTCTTGGGCTCCGTACGTTTTCTCCACACACATGCGACGAGCACTTTCCTTGACCAAATGAGCGCCCAACAGGTTTTTAGTCACGGGATTCTGCTCGTCGGCGCCAAAGTGATACTCGCAGTAGCGACCAAAGTTTTGACAATTGTCCCGGCAGTCGCCACTGAGTTGGTCGGGCCTGGAATCATCCGTATTGCGGCAACCAATGGAGTGACCTGGTTGGACGCGTTGAAACAGCTTGAAATTAATAGCGTTGCCCATTCGAAAGATAATCGGCTTGATCGCAGTGGCAGCAACGTAATCGAGGGTTGCGGAAGGAGCCGTGTGAAACTCAAAGTCAATGGGTGTCCCATCAAACGCAGATACCTTTTCGGACAAGGCGAAATTGATCGAATCTTCTTGGCCGTAGACGGATGCCACACAAGTGGCGGCTGCCACCAATAAAAGGCAATTCCTGATGCTACCCATGGTTTCTGATATTAATTAAGATCTGATGATATGGTTATCGAGAGACCTCCACTGAATTTATTGTCGTGTATACTGATCGAAGTGCGTTTATCAACAAGTGGGTATACAAGGTATGATAGGTCGGTGCTTCTATTAATTTTGTTATTGTAAAGGAAGAATGATCGAGATGGGTCCAAGAAAAAAATGATCGTACAAGCGACCACGTTGCGGCCGGTACCCCGCGGAAACATCACACCGGTTGTTGGGTGTTGGGTGTCTTGGTTCTTCTCTGCAATTTGTCCGGGAACCAACCCGCTTACAGGGGCTGAGGTTTCATCCATGCCTCAGAACGGCAACATTAATGCCGAAGGCTCAATAATGTCTCCAGATTTAAGAAGAAAGACTGTGGGTCTTTGTGGCTTTTTATTCTCTTCAATACTTATGCCACTAGGACATGTCTTTTTTGCTTGCTATAAAATTTTCAGTAGTCTTAGATACACTCTCGTGAATCAAATAGGATCAGATGACCACACTCGTGAAGGACTTCTTAAGCCATCCTTGAACAGGGACATTTGGCCACGCACTCACTGGTAATTGTGTATGTAAGGGCGGTATTGGATGTGATCGCCACTTGGCATAATGCATACCCTTAGTGCCAGTTACTGAGTACAGTCAACGCTCGCTTATATTTATAATCTTGTATTTATTCGCTCTATAATATTTAAGAATACTCCAGTTCCCACATTTTTAACTCTAACCCTATTTTAGTACTAGAGCACGTACAATTCTACGGGAATAGTTAGGGTTAGGGATAAAATCAATATTTATTCTCGCTGTTATATTTACTGAATTCCTGAATCCCCCCCCAGTATATATATCTGAATGTTGACTGTACTCAGTACCTATCCTGATACAAAAGAGAGCTTTCATTTAAAATTCCGTCTCCTTGAGACGGCGCTCCTTTTGGTTACCCCCTCAGTTGCACTCTGAAATCGATTTGCCGGCGTTTACTGTGTAAATTAGTGTACCCGCACTTCAGTTGCAGAATCAACGGTCATGTGTATCCGTAAGTACCAAACTTGTACTTAACGTTTTTTAACGTCTGTACAGGTGATTCGTGGAATAAAAGAACTGTTGAAGTTGCTAAGGTTAAGGATAAACTGATTGAGTACGGTACGATGAATGGTTCAAGTCCATCGATATCATTGAAGGCACAGCACTGACATCTCGCCTTCATTGAATTTCTATGGTAAACAGGAGAGAAATCCAAGCTTTACCGACAAGAGTACTCGGAGCGTTGAATCGATCGAACGAACGAGGTAAGCCTATTATTAAGAGTGTTGTTGAAGGCGCAGCACTGACTTCTCTCCCTCATTGGATTTCTATGGTATTCAGGAGAGAATTCAAAGCTCCGCCATCAACAGGTGAGTTGTTTTAATTATTCGAGTCGATCGTTTGCACCTCTATTATCTCTATTATCAAGCATCACTCAAGCCGACCTTCTATGGTGTAGATTCGAAAGCCATCCCTCATTGAATCCTATGGACCATGGGATGGCAGTCAGTTCTAGGCCCATGACAGCCAAGTTGGTGCAATTTGGAAAACAAGGGTAAGTCTCCGGTCGTCTGCAGTTCAGCACAGAGAACAAAACTCGTATCTATTTATTGTTTTCTCTGCTGTACTGCTGACGGCCGAGGAAATACCATTGTCGAGGTCGAACGAAGGATCGCTCCGGATAACAAGAGGAGAGGCTACCGCCGCAACTACGGAGGACGAGGCTCTGTTAACTCCAGCCCTACCAACAGCATGAACGACGTCTTCGAGTCATTGAATGGCAACAGTCAACCGGAGGAGGCTACACGACAACGCACAAAAGCACAGAGGAGAGTGGATCCTACTACTGGATTCATCCCTCCAGTGTTATTTCCTTGTGATTTGGTGGTGATTCCTGTATCGGCACCCATTTTTCTGTATGCAAAAGTCCTCGGGCGAACGACTTGCTTCTTTCGTGAGATAATAGATCATCGATTACCGACCAATAGACCACTCCTTTCATTAGATAGTAGACACCTTATAGATCAATAGGATTGACAATATTCGGTTGTGTATATCTTCGTCATAAGGATCCAATGCGAGGTACCTGTACCGGAGTGTAGCGAGCAAAGCCGAACCTGAGTGTGTTCGGTACTGTTGCCACTGTCGCCGATGTAACTATACGGCAGTCGGCTACAATGGCTGGATTG